AAGAGCCTAGAAATGACCATTTAAAAGATTGGGAATAATTGCCGAACTCTCTTAGGTTTATATGAGAATTTTTAACATATTATTTTTTTAATTCCTCTTCTGATATGTATTATTTTTCTATGTCTGCCTTAACAAAGTACCAAAAACTGGATAGCTTAAAACCACAGGAATTTATTTTCTCACAGTTCTAGAGGCTAAGAGTCTGAAATTAAGATGTCAGGAGGTACATGAGAAGGTTCAGAGAAGGATCCTTCCTTGTTTTTCCAACTTCTGGTGGATCCTGACAACCTTTGGCTTTCCTTGGCTTTTGGCAGCCTGACATTCATCTTTGCCCCTTTGCGTGGTCCTCCTTCTGTGTCACCTCTGTTGTCACATGGTGCTCTCCTGTATGTCTGTGTCTCTCCAAGTTTCTCTCTTATAAGCTCACCAGCCACTGAATTAAGGCCAACTCTTATGCAGTATGATCTTAACGAAATACTTCTGCAGTGACCTTATTTCCAAAAAAGGTCACATTCTGAGGTTCTGAGTTGATGTGAAGTTCTGAGACACACTATTCAATTCAGTACATGATGAAACAAGAGATGCACGTTTCAGTCTTACTTCTGACAATAGTAGTCATGCATATATCATAACCTGTCAAAACTTTGCTTGAAAAGGACGCTTAAGGAATTATAATTGTAGAATTCTATGACTTTAGACCAAAATTTTACATTTTTCATACTTATATAATAAGCCTCAAACAAAGGATGTAGCCAACTGGGCTTGCCTTTCAGTTTTCCATTTATTTGATATTGTGAGTCTCCTAGAATTCATCTTTCTAAGAACCTTTTAAATGGGCAGTTATATAAATTCCATATCCTCTGTGATTTGGAATCAAGCCAGAAATTCTGCAGTGAACTGTCAACAAATTCATCTCTCCATCATAGTGTTTAAAGGGGTGCATCATATGTATTCTGATATGTATTATTTTCCTATGTCTGCCTTAACAAAGTACCAAAAACTGGATAGCTGAAAATCACAGGAATTTATTTTCTCATAGTTCTAGAGGCTAAGAGTCTGAACTTAAGATGTCAGGAGGGCCATGAGAAGGTTCAGAGAAACATCATAGTGTTTACTGGTCACAAAATGTAAGATGATAAGACACAGGTTTTAATTAAGTAGATTTTCATAACAGAAAGATTTCCTTGAGTTAACTATAGTATACACTATTGCTTTTGAAGTAACTTCTAATGAAATAAACACATTGAAGTTTATGTTACAGTTATTTGAACATTAATATTTTACCATAGTTCAATATCCATGTTTTAAGCTAAATCAGTAACTAAAATGTGCTAATTGAAGGGATTAATTTATATTCTATTGACCTGTTATTACCATTAATTTCCAGTTAATTTTTAAAATTTTTTAATGATATTGATAAATGGATTTCAATTACATTAGTACTTATTTGTGAGATGAGAGAAAAACTAATAAAATCAAGGGACACAAGTAAATTATTATTAGAATGTTTTTGCAAATTTGATAAATAAAAATAGTAGGAAAATCTTCTCTAGAATAAAACAAAATGATAAATTTTTTATATCTAGCAAAGTTATTTTAAAAGATTATGAAGTAGCAGAAGTAGACAGTAGAATTTGGACTTTATGTAATTAATAAGGATTAAGTGTTATGTAGTGGCAACTTGTTGCTAAAATCCTTAATAATATATTTTTCAATCTGTGTGTAAAAGATACATGCATACATACATATATTCCAATTTAATGGAGACATCATCAAACTTTTAGAATAAACTTATTCCTTTATATGGTCTAAAGTAGCATTTCAATATTATTTCTCACAATTTTTCTGTGCTCATTCTCAATGATACTGACATGTCAAATATGGCACTTCATGCTACATTACCTGTTAGCATGTCTTTGTATATTTGGGCTCCCCTGACCAGAATACCATATCTTTCTTTACATTCTCCATTTTCTGATTTTCACTCCTACCTAATATTCTAGGTCTATTTGAAAAATCTGCTTTTACAGAGTTGATGACAGTCATTTTCCAGGCAGTTCACCTTATATAGGTATCCCGCATGTGGTAGACTTTTTGGTGCAAACACATTTTGTTTTCCTCACTCCAATCATCCAGAACCACATGTTAGATATTCAGTAAATCTATATAGAATGAATGATGGAAGAAACTCAAAACAAAGTCATTTTAAACAAGGTAAACAGGCCAAAGAAGCCAGTGCCTCTCATGACTTGATCTTCTCAGGCACAGTTTCCTAAGGTGTACAAGCAGTGTAAGGAAACAGGTGTGGATTGATATTTTTTCTTCCTTAGTGTGTAAAACATAATGAAACTACATTAATTTCCAGAGGTTAGATTGCAAGAAACACAGAAAAATATTAGAGTATCATTAAAAGGAGGCTTGATGGAGGGGATGAAAAAAAAAGTGAAGAGAACATCAGAACTACAAAATATATAAAGAAAAAATAAATAAATGATGTAACAAATGGGCTAGTGTGACAGATTCCGTAATGTCTGGTGCCAGCTCCTAGTGTTTACAGTCTACACTGTTTGCTACCAAAAGATGCAGTATGACTTACAAAGATACAAAATTATAAGAATGTAATCTAGATTCAGGAATAAAGGGGACAAAGGGCTGCTGTAGTGATATTAAATGAAACTATTACCAGAGCTTTCTGAAAAAGAAATCAAACTGAAAAGGCTATAACCTTCCTATCAGATAGATTTCAATTTGGCTCTAAGTTTTCTAGAGACCAAATAAAAAGAGAAATCCGATCAATTTCATAATTTACAGCATCCATGATAAAAGCAAACCAATTTACTCAGGAGAAGTGCAATTATTCCTGCTACTAAAATCTGAAAAAAATTGCTCCCAATGGTCATCATAAAGAGGACACTGTAAAATATAATGAAATATGCCTTGAACAATATCATATCTTTATGATAGATACCACCGAGAATTTCTTTTTTTTGGGGGGTATCTCTCACAATATACGGATACTCTAGCTATACAATTCTGTGTGTCATTTAATAGAGGCATAGATTTTTCAGTAACTGGAAAAATACATGGACAGAAAATCTTTCAAAGATTCTTCAAAAACATCTTTATCTTATGTAATTCTTTAGATATTTGGTGACACTAAATCTCAGAACACTCAATTGGTTCACTCAGTAAATAGGTATTGGACATCTACAATTTATACAGTCCTCTGTTAGGCACAGAGGAAACAGGGGACAGAACAATTTCCTCAAAATCAGCTATTCTGTCATGTCAATTAGATGTAAATAAATATGACAAATGACATGAAAGGAAGTAAATGTTGACATTCTCTTGTGAAAGGTGAAGGCACTTCAAGCCTTGATTCAATTCGAACTCATACCATGGGTCAAGTCACACTTCAGAAAATAGGTTTGAATCTGCTTTGACATACAGATTAATGGGCACTTGCTGTATTTCTACTCCATTTTAGAATAGTCAGAGTGCCTTTTTTGGAAGAGATCTAGTCTCACACTATTTAGGTTTTTATCCTAAAATAAGCATCCTATTGAGATTTCTAGCACTATTGTGCCTTTTAAGCTCTAATCTGAGAATACTTCTTTGGCATTGTCTCAGGAGACACGAGGGAAGGCCCCACAGTCAGATCTGTCTTCTCCAACCATCTATCACCCATAGAAGGCTTTCTGCTAAAATATAAGGTTTCTGACAAGTAGTTTGAAAAACATTGCACTGTTCTGTACTATTTCCAAAATTTTATTTTCTCTACAAAGATCATCAAGACTTCTATTCAGTAAATATGTACTGTTCACCTGCTATGTTCCAGGATCTGGATATACAAGGTTAAATGTAAAGGTCTTTGTCCCAAGGAGCTTAAAGTTTGTGATAAGACCCCTCCATGAACCAAAGCTTAGGCTGCAGTTTGGTGGCTGTCATCTCAGATGAAAACCATACACTGTGTGCATGTAAGGGATGCAGTAGCTGGAGTGGACGGGTGTGAGCAGAGGGCCTCAGAAGCCCATATAGAGCAGACAGCTTTTAAGTTGAGTCATGAAAAATGACAGAAATTAAGAAAACAAGTGGAAAAAGTCATTCTAAGCAATCATGTGAGGAAGGGAAGACATGTCAAGTGGTATGGAAAACCGAAAGAAGAGTTATTTTTGTGACTGGAATGCAAATAAGGTAGGAAATGAAGTTTTAGAATCAGGAAGAGGCCAGGACATGGAGAACTAGCGTGCTTAGCCAAGAGATGTGACACAAAAACCAAGGGCAGAACAAACCAAACCGGTAATTTTAGGCTAATGCCATGAGCACATTTATATTTTAGAAATATCACTCCAGCATTATTATAGAGGATACAATAGAGAAGCTACGAATAGAGTCAGGAGGAGTAACTAGAAGCTTATGGCAACAATCTGGAAGAAAATAAATGAGAATTTGAATTAAGCCAGAGAAATTGTCATGAGAGGAGGGAAGTATGACAGATAATTAAAGGGTAGAACATTTGGGAGTTTGTGACTTCTATGGACTATCTATCCTGTTTTTTATCCCTTCTGAATAAATAATCATTCATCTTACAGTGTTACTTCTCTCTGTGTAATTTTATTCCCACTTTCTGATTTATGTATATGTAGTCAAGCTTTAGAGACTCTGAAATACTATTTTTTTCATAGTCACCAGATCTTACATAGCAGTCCACTTGAAACTTGAACATTTAATCACTTAGTACATTCTGCCTGCATAACAAAGCTTAACATTATAATCCTCCAGTTATTACAAGATCTGTGCTGTCTTGGATACATTTACACTTCAATTACAATTACAATGCTTTCATCTTAACAGCTTCTAGTTTCTGAAGGATTAAGTCTTAAGGATTATGTTATAATGAGAACAAAGGTTATTGACTACTTTTCTCATTTCTTTTTGAGATGCTTTGCTAGCCAAATAAAAGTGAAGTGAAATTTATGCCAGGATGTTTTCTCCTACAGGAAAATATAATGGAAGTTATGAGAAATCAAGAGTTTTTACTGCTTCCAGCTGAGGAGCTCCATAAACTCCTGGCCAGTGATGATGTAAATGTTCCTGATGAAGAAACCATCTTCCATGCATTAATGATGTGGGTCAAATACGATATGCAGAGGAGATGCAATGACTTGAGTATGCTTCTTGCTTTTATAAGACTGCCACTGCTTCCACCACAGGTAATTATCTGCAATGCTGTTTTAATAGCTATGATGTACCAAAAATCCTATTTCAACTACACTAGTGAGGCTGATGATTTCATAATATGGGTAACTATTGAACCACCATGATGTGTATTTGAAACCAATATAAGATTGTATATATAATATAATTTAAAATTGTATAAACCGTACAATTAAAAAAAGTAACATCAAAGGGTAAAATAAA